TCTCATTTCCTTGTCTCATTTTCTCTCTCTTTTTCCATTCCCAGGCTCTTTGCTTTTGTTTTATTTTAAAGATCTCTCCCCCAATTATTTTCACATTAAGTTTTATTTTTGATGTTTACCTAGTTTTGTCTTGATTTTTATTCATAGCTACCAGCTTCATCTGCTGTTTCATTTTCACATTTTCCTCTTTAATAGTTTTTCATTTTAAGCTTGTATCTTTTATTGTCATTTTTTTTGCTTCCAACAATTATCTTTCATCTGTGTTTTATCTATTTATCATACAGCATTTTAACACTTTTACCTGTTGTATCAGTCAGAGTTCTCCAGGGAAAATGGAAACAGTAAGAGAGATTTATTTTAAGGAATTGGCTCATGTGATTATGGAGGCAGATGAGTCCAAAACTCTGCAGGATGGGTCAGCAGGCCAGAGACCTGAGGAGGAGCCAGCATCCCAGTTCAAGTCCAAAAGCTGTCTGTTGGCAGAATTTCCTCCTGGTCGAGGGATGTCAATCTTTCCTACTATTGAGGCCTTCAAATGATTGGATGAGGCCCACCCACACGGTAGAGGGCAGTCTCCTTTACTCAAAGTCTGATTTAAATGTTAAACTTATCAAAAACACACTCACAGAAACATCCAGAATAACAGACCAGGCCAAATAGCTAGGCATGTCCAGCCAAGCTGACACATAAAATTAGTCACATCTACTTACATTTATTGGGTTTTTCAGGATTAGTGGAAATGTTTTTTATAATTTTTAAAAATCAGGCTATTAGATTGGATACATAATTTTACCCAAGTTTTGAACTATGTATTAATAGACTCATATGGTATGTATTCTTGGGTGTCTGCTTTTAAAAACGTTTTGAATATGCTGTTATTGATACATTTGTCTTCAGTTCTCTCATTTTCATTGTTGCTTAGCATGATTGTGTTATAATTCTTCGATCAGTGTTCTGTTGCTTTGAGAGATTTGTTTCTAGTTTGGGGGGCATTCTTGCACATGTCTCTTGGTTATAGGCAGGCTTTTTGGTTGGGTATATATCTAGCGGTGGAATGCTGGGTCAAGGTATGCATAGCTTCAATTTACTGGAAAATTCTCACCTCTGTTCCAAATGTCTCTACTAATTCACAGTCTGAAAAGTCACATTGGTACTCATTTTGTAAACCCAGATGCCTATGTTGTGGCACTCGTGTGGCTTTATTATGCATTTTTCTGGTTATAAATGAGGTTGAACATTTTTTATTAGATAGTGAGATTTCCTTTGTTGAATGTCTATTTAAATTTGTTGTTTGTTAACTTTCTGCTTCTATTTGATATGTAGGACTTCTCTATATATTCTTTTTGGCTAAATACATTGCAAATATTTGATCCTATTCTGTGACACGCCTATTTTCTTAAAACCGTCTATTGGTGAATGGAAGTTCTTATTGTATGCCAGTGGCACTTAATTTTTCAGTCTTTCCTTTTATGGTTAGTGTTTTTCATGTTTTGTTTAAAAAAATGGCTTTTACCTCAAGTAGGAATGATGCTCTCTCATATTTATACATGTATAATTAACTTTTCAATAATTTTAACACTATACTAAAATATATGTCAAAGATTAACTTTATTTTTTCAATTTAGTCTTCTTTAAATATAGTTTCCAATTTACTTTTATAATGGTTGTGAAACGTATGGGTATATTATACGCATGCGCGTGAGCACAGACCGCAAATGTTGGGCCGTCCCCTCTCCTCCACAGGTATTTGTGAAGCCATCGCGTGGGCTCTGGCTCCCCCTGATGGATTAAGGAACGACACTCAAGGGAGATTCCTCATGGACTAACAGGAGTTGGTGATGGTTAGGACCTCGGATTTGGGGCTGAAGAAAAGCGATTACTCTGAGGCGAGGGCAAAAGATGAAATCTGATACGGGACAATAAACGAAAAGAACCCAGCTGGACTAAAACGCAGAGTTTAGAGGGTAGGAGAGGGGCAATCTGTCCATGCCTGGATCACAGTACCCACTGGGGAAAGGTGGCGAGGGAGGGAGCGAGGCGGCCACTCAGTAAACCCACAGTGACGCTGTCCTCCCCACTGGACCGTGCGAAGTCAGAGGACTCCAACCCAGGACTCAAAGAAACTAAATCAGGACGGGTAAAATTTCATTGCCACATGCCATCGCTCTTGGCTCCAGAACCTGCATACGGTGAGACACCTGGGGAGAGAGAGGAGGTTCCCTCAACACAGACAATTTTAATAATTGTCTAATAATAACAATATTGATAATAACAATAACTAATAATAAAAAATAAACCGCCTATATCTTTCACATGCGTATGTGGAACAATCAGCGTTCTACCCACGATTGTTGGCCTCCCACAGACGGAGAGGATGCCTAGCAGTGCCTAGCGGAGAAGGGCAGAAGGAAGTGAAGGTCAGTTCTGCAACAAAATCAGAAAAACAACTCAGTGAGCAAGCGGGGCTTGGTAGCAGCACTCCGGGAGGAGGATCAACGGTGAGTTCGAGGCCAGCCTGAACTACATAGCGAGACCCTGTCTCAAAAAACTAAAACCGAAACCGAAAGCAAACAACGACAACAACAACAATAACAACAACAAAAACGCAGTGACTGCCTAGGGAAAGAGCGCCTTCTTGTGGTTTCTGTGGGCGGAGCGGAAACAGACAATGGTGATCAGAACCTGAGAGAGTAGCCTTGAGGCCCTGTAAGAAATAGGCAGGAAGAAAAAAATAATAAAAATTTTTAAAAATTTAAAAAAAGAAATAGGCAGGAAGAACAGGCGATCGGAAGACACCATGAAGTGGAAGATGCTTACCCTCCAAATCGAGGAGGATAATCGGATCCGCGAAGGCCTGCCGGAAGGCACGCTGGGGGCTCGAAACCTGGAGATGTGCTAGGGGGAGCCACAGTCCTCAGTCGGGTCCGCAGGAGGAAATTGCGGGCCGATGGAAATCAGACGCGACCTCAGTGAAGGGGGCGCTGTGTGAAAGACCTGGGTTACTGCTGTAACAGCTGTGCGAAGCTTTCTGTTGGTTTTCTTTTTCTTTCTATTCTTTGTTTTTAGTTTCTTACTCTTCTTTAAGATTCTTCTTTATTGGTATTAGATGATTACAGTACTTTAAGTTTCACGGGTTTCCCGTTAAACCTGCTCTCTCATTTAGTGTGCCTTCTCTCCTACCAACTCTTCCTGGTTATTCTTAGTCTTTCCCTACCCCTCACTATCTCATCTTCTTTTTCTTTTTCTTTTTTTCTTTTGAGATACTGTCTCACAGTTCAGTTCAGAGTGGCCTTGACATCACTTGGTAGCCCAAGCTGTCCTCCGACTCACAGCCATCCTCCTGCCTCAGCTTCCTGCATGCTGGAATACAGGTGTACAGCCTCGCCTTCTTGTCCCCCTCCCCCCATCTAAGGACATAAATAGGAGATTGTAAAAGTGCATTAGAGAATAAGAATTAACCAGTGCTATAATAAACAGTGTCATTTAAGGTCGTATCAGGGCAGTCCTTAACAAAACTGGGCTTAGAGGGACCAAACAAAACTACCAACAAACATAGTAACAGGTGCCAGCAATCTCGGTCTTCTTCATTCTCTAAATACATTGCCACCACCTCTTAACTTCACAAATACTCTCCCAGTGCCCCTTACACCAGATCTTTACCTCAGTTATAAAGTATCTCCAACAGTCTGACTTCCTGTTTTTATAACCATTGACAGATCTCTCATCTTCCTCTCTTCACATTGACGTAGCCCCTTGCATTTATGCTTCCTCTCCACATGCTCACACTTCATGCATCCCAGTACAATGCAGTTTGGAAAGGACATTGACCAAAGAGTGAAATCATCAAATCAGCTTTTAATGTTTATGATTCACAAAAAGCCTGCAGTCTCCCAACTCTCCCAAAGCAGATCCAAGGAGCAACAATGGAGAAGAAAACAAACATCAGGTAGCATGGCTTTATGAGATGATTAAAGAATACCTAAAGAAATTCAGTGAGCCCAAACAGGAAAGGACCTGGTCGCAGAAGAAATCAAGGAAGAAATAAGACAGTTCCAAGAATTAAACAATAATGCCAATAAAACATATCAGAACTGTGGAACACAATGAAAGCAGTCGTAAGAAAGAAATTTATAGTTGTGAATGCCCACCTTAGAAAAACACGGTGAGCCTAAGGGAATAACCTAATGATGTACTGTAGGACCAGAGCGCCTCCATTCCGCTAAGATCAGCCATTCCCCTAGTCTCCCTTATACTCATAAATTAATGGTTAAAATGTGCTTGCTCTAGGTCAATAGATAAAATCTGGGCACGAAGCAAAGTTCCTAAGTAAATTACCCAACCCTCTGTTTGCCCGGAAAACGAACGTTCCTGGGCCCACTATCTGTAAAATAATCTATCAGTGTGTCTGCTGACTATCAGTACGTGACAGTCGACCACTAACCTTTGTTCCTTCTTCCCATAAGATCGACATGTAACCGCCCCCCCCCCCAGTCGTTCGCGGTCTTGGCCTGATGGGCCTGGCCAATCAAAAGTGTACACCCCATACTTGCTAAATGTCAACCAATCGTGTAACTACTAAGTGGAAAATCCCCAAACCTTGCTGTAACCACGATAAAAACCCTGCTGATTTGAAATTCGGGGCTCTCAATCCTGACCCGCTGTGTCGGCGACGGTTGAGAGTCCCTGCTCGAGCTTGAATAAACGCCCCTTGTGTGTTTGCATCGGAATCGGCTCCTTGGTGGTCTTCGGGGTCCTCGCGATCTGGGCACAACAGTACCTCAAGGTCTTAGAAAAACAAGAACAACCCAAACCCAAAACCGGTGCAAGGAAGAAAATTATGAAGATCAGAGCAGTGAATCAGTGAATTGAAGAGTTGGTTGTTTGAAAAAATAGACAAACCCTGAGCTAGTCTTACAAAAAAAGGGAAAGAAAACACCTAAATCGATGCAATTAGAAATGAAAAAGGTGAGATCACAGTGGGTACCACTGAAATCCATGATCAGCAACTACTTCACAAAACTGTATGCCAGTAAATTGGAGAACTCAGAAGGAATGGATGGATTCCTAGATACATGTGAATTACGAAAACTGAATCAAGAAGATTTAAAACCATTGAATAATCCAATAATGGGCAATGAAATTGAAGCAGGAGTAAAAAAACCTAACAATTAAGAAAAGCCCAGGTCAGGGGAGGGTGGGCCGAGAAGGTGGGCTTTCCACACTCAGGAAGCAACAAAGGGAGAGAGAGCCAGAGTACACTGGTGAGCTTGAGAACTGAAAGCGATTTGGTTTGCAGGAGAGGGAGTATGGGGCATGGTAGGGGAAGAGGCCCCCAAAAGGGGCAAAACAGAAGACCCTCTTAAACTATGATGAAGAGTTGGTGCTTTTTCCTGTGGGTGAGCAAGACTTACCTAACCGAAGTAAGGAGGTGATAGGTTATATATTTTAATTTTTTTTAACTTTATTAAGGTATACTATACATGCCATAAAATTCATTCATTTAAGCATGCAATTTATGATTTTTGGTAAATTTTCCAAGTTGTACAACTGGCTCCACAACTTAATTTGGAACGCTTCCACCACCCCAAAAAGATCCTTTATGCTCTCTAGAGTTATTCCCCAGGCAGCTACTAGTCCATTTTCGGTCTTGACAGATTTGCTTTCCATTTTTTTTCTTTTAAATGATAACTTTTTTCCTTGGTGTCCTGCTGCAGAGTGAGTTGGATATTCTGTTGCCCCTCTGGCACTGTGGGAGACTCACCTAGGACCCTGCTCATAAAACCTGTCCTCTTCTCATAAGGCTGGAAGTACCTGCCCGAGCCTGTAGCCGTGATAATGCCTGAGCTCCTGTACCTTCTGGTCCTCTGCACAGTAGGATCACAGAGCCTCTTAGCTTTCCATAGGCTCCGCACCTCCATCAGATTACTGAGAAAGGGTGTTGACTGCGGTTTCCCTTATCTTTAAATAACAACTTCCTGCATTAGCTTGGCATGCAGATGGCGATGGCGCCAGGCAAGCCTGAGTCTGACTCTGCTGGTCCCACCACAACCACACAAGGCAGGAAATGGGAATGGTCAGCCTCCTTGTATTTGGACCTCTTCTTCCTGTCTGTTAGTCCTTGTGAAATCTGGACAAAAATAAAATAGAGACGACCTTCCTCCCTCACACCACACTAGGTCAAGATTGTAGGTTGTGCTGTCTATCTTCTTCTTGTGATGAGGAAGGGTGGGAAGGACAGGGGTCAGTAGGGTCCACGTCCCACTCTTGCCTTATTGTGTCCTATGTCTCACTAACCATCCCATCTGGCTCTGTCCCTTTTCTGTGTTGCTACATATGGGTGAGAAAGAACTGGCCGTCTCGGGGAGGTACATCCCATGAAACTCACCAAGTGGATGGCGCACCACATGGCTCATTCTGCCTGTAGTGGCTTAAAGAGAGAGGGCTAAAAAAGAGTTACCCATCATTATGTGCTATGGTTGTAGATTGGAGTACCCAGAGTAACAACGAGCTACCAAATGCAAAGGCAAAGACCCAGAACATTTAAGGTTGGAGTATAGTGATGGGATAAGATTGATATTTGACTAGTATGTGGACAAACTTTTCTTTCTCCTCATTACTCACAGAAGGACCTTAGGAGGTGGATTAACTGTTAAGTGTGTTTTGCAAGTATTGACATTTCTGGCAATATGAAAGCATTTTCCAAGTGGGGTGACCTCCACTGAGAGAGATCTCTGCTTTGTTGTTGAAACATATGTAAAAGAGGCTGATCCCTTACACATGCTTCTCTGTCCTGCAATGAATGGATCAAATGTGTGAATGAAATTTACCAAGAGGGAGCAAGGAACTAGCAATCAGTCGGCCATTGTACCATAGAGGTTTCCTTCATCCTGGATCTTCTTTCAACTTTCCTAAAATTTATTATTGTGTTGGGAGCAATGCCACATAATTCTAGGGAAAAATCATTTGAGTAGGCCTAGTTCTCCTGCCTACAGGCCAGCTATGGCATTCCGAGACAGAATTCCATTTTGGCCTCAGGTCACAACTGAGACCTCAGTGATCCCGCCTTGCTGTAATGCTCCAGGACAAGACCACACCTGCAGGAG